GATATACAATATTAAATGTATTTATTTATTTAATGTATTTATTTATTTAATGACATATAAAAATTATATAAAAAATAAAATAAAAAATTAACGCTATAATACCACCCGATTAAAAATATACTACTTCCTATTCCTATAATGGTTTTGGTTTGTACAAAACCCGTATCCCAAACCGGGTCATTGACGCGGAGAAGGTTGTAGAATGCCATAGCAGATTCTGTTTATATATACTTATAATAATTTAAGAATAAGAATAATAAATAAGATCTATAGAGACGCAAACGCAGGGTGAGGTATTGTATTTGGGTTCGAAATTCTGTTTGCAGAAAAGAAGAAAAGGGGAAAAAAATGGCTCTGAATCCTCAGTTGTTCCCAAATGGCATGCCGGTGCCCTTCCTCAACGAGATGTTCGTTCTCTCCAGAGGCGGCGTCGAGTTCGAGATCGACAAAGTCCCAGGGTCTCTATCTCTCTCCTCTTCTTTCCTTTCTTTCTGCGATTCTAATTTATCCGCAATCTCAAATCTTTCGTGGTTACTGCAATTTTAGGTTTTTTTTTTTTTTATTATTATTAAATTTAAGAATCCGTTTGCTTGAATTCGATTGGTGGTGGAAGGGGATTTTCTATCATCTTCAACCATCAAATGTAGTTAATGAATTGAGAAGATGGATTTATCATGACTGTAGTTAGGGTTAGGGATTTAGGATCATCAGAATTCCTCTTATTGGTGAATTTTTTTATGTTTTGTTTGTAATTTCTTTCTGGGCATTCCATTTTGATCAACTCTTTTTTTTTTTTTTAATTCAATAGTTAGAGTAATAATGCTACCTCCTTAGTATGTTAATTATATTTAGGATTAATTCCACATGCTACAGAAAAAAGGTGGATATAATCTCAATGTTGAATATAATTTGTGTTTGAGTTTGATTGTCTAATGTATGGTAATCTTTATTCAAAATAAAAAAAAAAAAAAAAAATTGTTTGGTAATCTGTGCTACTGCCGCATTTTCAGAGCTCAAGGTCATGGGGGTCATGTTAAAGCTAAGGGGACAATCTACTTGTCTAATGTAAGGATGGTCTTTGTTGCAAATAAGCCTGTTGGGAACTTCGTCGCTTTTGATATTCCCATGGTACGTGATATTTCATGTTTATCTAGTCTGCACATTACTACTTTTTTGTGTTCTTTTTCTCTCAAAATCTGGTTTGTGATGCTGCTTATTTAATCTTCATTCTCAATGTTTGAATCTAAAATATATCCAATTTAAGATCATGCATTCCCAAGTTTGCTCCCTTTTCCAGATCGAATTTTCAATTCATGCCATATACTTTGATATATTCCTACTTTAAGATTTCTCTCTTTCTCACCTTCACGTTTTTGTATTCTCTTTATTTATAACAAAGGAAGCAATCAAAAGCCAAAATAAACAAGAAATTGAATATAAACAATGCACACCAGTCCCAACCAGCCATAAGGCCTCAACAGCTAACAGCTAGGCTAGTCTATTTTGAAATTAGCTGAGGTCCAACCCTTGTTCAATGTAGTTGTGCCTTTCCTTCCATCATCTTTTTATATTCCATAATGGTGTGAAGTTGCAAAAGCTCCATTAATTTCGAATTAGTGGATGACACCCTTAACAGTCATGCAGATGCTAAGTTCTCCTACAGATTGCATTGATCCAACTTTTCTTTTTTTATTATGCAGCTCTATGTTCATGGTGAGAAATTTAACCAACCAATATTTCACTGCAACAATATTTCTGGCCAAGTAGAGCCTGTAAGTATATTGTGAAAGCCTTCTTAGCTTGACTTGTACTGATTTATATGTGGGTATGATGTCTAAATATGTTTGAATCTGAATACCAGGTGGTCCCAGAGAATGAGCACAGGGCCCTGTACTCCACTTATTCCTTTAAAATTCTGTTCAAGGAAGGTGGTTGTGGAACTTTTGTTCCTCTGTTTCTAAACTTGATCTCTTCTGTGAGACGATACAATCAACAAGCAACTCCTGTATCAGAGCCTCATGTAGATCCTTTACAAGCAGCACAAACTCCAGTTGATGAAATGATGAGACATGCGTAAGTGGACATTGCTAGATAGCTAGTGATCTTCAACTCTAAGGAAACAATACATGATACAACTAGCAGCTTTCTTTTTTGAGGAGTTTGCGGATGAATAGCTTGTTAATTAGTTATCAACTTTCTCTTTTGCAGATATGTTGACCCTAATGATCCAACGAGAATCTTTTTGCAGCAGCCAACTCCAGAGTCTCAGCTGAGGCGGCGAACTTACCAGTCCCAACCAGCTGAGCAATACTGATTTAAACTTCACATTTTCGAAAGAAACAAGTAATATAATCGTATTTGTGTAGTTAAGTGCGTAATATACCATGACATAAAAAATCATCTATTGCGTGTTTTCTTGCCCCAAAATGTGTGGATAATTGTTTCTTATTGATAAATAAAATGTTTCTGTGTCTTCTGTGTGTATATCGGGCATGGCCGCATGGTTTAGATCTTACTATTCCTTTGATCCTTCCAAGGTACTAGAGTTGATGTGCTCTAGTCAGGTACAATGGTTAACTATCAAGAGGTTCTTATTAATTTGTCTTGGTTGCTGAAATGCGATGATCTCTTTTTAGAATCCCACAAGACTTTCTCCATACTATTGAATCCTGAGTGTTAAAATTTAAATTATATTCATTTAGGGGCAGCTGAAACACTTATGACTAACTCGTGCACTGCACTTTCCATGCAAATGTTTGCATTCCAGAATCATTTGCTACATTGGCATCCAGAAAATTGTGCATTATCCCAGAATCATTAAGTATCAGTAGTGTTTTCTTCCCAACATGGTCAATCACCTCAAGTGTATGTGAAGCACATTCACCATTAGTATTGTCATGAATCGACAATTTAGGATTTTGGGATTACAAGGATGTAATTTTAGTTCGCTACTTCACCATGGCCAAACACAAAATGGTTCACATAACATTTAATTGACTGTTCAAGACAATCTTCCAAGGTATGTTTCTAACTGGAGAACTTCGTTGAAACCAAATGGGCTCGAGTCTTGATGGTTGAAAAATTCTAGAATACAATAGTTGTACATTCAATGTAGTTTGTCAGGCCAATCGAAACTTCACATGGAGGTAAAAGTTGGTGAATTCCTTTCGCTTTAATCAAACTCGTATATGCTATTCTATTATTTTTTTTTTTCGATTGTATAATACAAGTAATTTTTTTTAATTACTTAACTCACCTTTACTCCAAATTATATAATTTAAATTTACAGCATCTCTATTTTTATTAGAAAAGAAATTATCATTGAACATTTACCTTGTTGGTGAATTATACTTATTAAAACTTGATATATGCC